AACATTACCACCGGGCAGCCACCGATTTTTATACACAAGAGATAGTCCAACCTAATTTTGCTATGTGATGGTGGCCCGATTGTGATGTCACCAAATGATCACCCCGGGGATGTCTTTGAATCCCACCACCACCGCCTGACTTTCCCTCTCATTGTGTGTGTTGAATGGCAGCCCTTTGATTGGCCGCTTCCCCCTTCCTAAAAGCGGTGTCTTTGTAGATTCAATAGAAGGAAGTGGAATGAAAAGAGAAAAGATTTAGATAATCTAAACCATCGCCAAAACAATTTTAGCTTTCGAAGTTTCAAATGTTTCAAAGTAACTCAGGGAAACGTTGAAATTACAAACTGAAAGTAAATACTGAATTCAGCTTACTTCAGTATTATGGCGATGACACACAGTATTGTGATAAATAAAGCTTTTTTATTATTTGTGAGTGTATGTAGTCTCCAACGTGTAACCAATGAAATTGCCTCCGTTCAGTTTTCCAGGAATTCTACTCGTGAGTGTAAAATTTGTCGTCTGGTATGCACGCCCTCATTCCCCTTTGAAAGTGTACTAATCTAGTTAGAAAAAAGTCAAGTACTATTAGTGAATGGTTTAACGAGTTTGCGCAGTTTTGTGCAAACTTTTACCAAAAGATGCATGGCATGTGATATCATGATGTTAATGAGCAACTATGCACTAAGGATGAGGGTGTGTTATGCTCAGTTGACGGTTCAAAACGAATGGTTGAAGTTATTTTAACTTTTTATCGCCTCCCATATATATGAATGAGTCGCTCCCTGATAGAGCGAAAAGTCATACTTCCTGGTGGATCACGTGATAATGCAATCCAAATCTATCATTTGGGAAGTTAATCGATTCTCGTGAAAGTTCCCGTACCGGATTATTTCGCCAACAGCGTAATATACTTAAATGTAATCGGAATAAAACACCATCTTAACATACGAGTTAAATTTGATCCGAGCATACAGTTTTTCATCAGTTCATGTGCTCCATCTTTGTTTGATACGACTAGCATAAGGTGCAGTTCTAACCTAATGCTTTGTTTTATATTTTAGTAAAGCAGAATGTGTAACACTCGGGGCGTTTATATAGATTTCGCGTTAGCTGAGACCGAATCATCCTAGTCGAAATAAAATTCCATTTTCGATACAGATTGCAATCTTGGTCTTCCATAGTCTTTCTACCCTCATACATGCCTTCAAATAATAGAACCGAAGGTTTATCCGGTAAGAAATTGAATAAAACTGCTTGTTTATTTCACCTCTGTTGGTATTCTTCTGAAGCCATTAGAGTATAATCTAATGATGTTAAAATGCCCAAAGAAAATGACCATATATAATTTCGATTGATGACATGTTTTTTGTTTGCTTACAGCCGAAACCGTCACATTTTCAAACAATTCTTGTGAATGACACACGTACCAAAGGTATACATCTTAATTCATCCACCAACAGACACCCACACACATCGCTTTCCAAGTCTGCTAATGCCGTACCATGTGAATTTTACACAAGTTACTGCTTTAAACCTAACAGAGTGGGGTGAACACATTTTCTCTCCATTTGTTTTCTTGCTTGCATGCTTGTGCTATTCTGTTGGTTATCCACAGCTTATGTGAGTAGCTTATTATCTATTTTAGGAGGGGCATTCAGTTACAGTACTTGATCAACTAAGTTCTTCCTAATATTTCGGTTTTATTTAGGGCTCCCTCCAATCGGGTTCATTATATCATCATACATTTATTGGAAAAATAGCAGAGAGCTTCCTTTTCGGGAAGTCACCGGAGTGTATGTAGCGCATTGTTTGTTTGATATAAATTCGAAGCAAAGATTTCGCAACCCAATTGCAACTGGGTCAGCACTTACGTCTTCCAGGATATCTTTTATCAGCCCGGTCCATGAATCATTCGCAAAAGTGCCATATTCACCGTCAGACGACTCGATATATTGACATCTGTAGAGGCAAAAGCATCCTGAGATTTATTGGTACATATCCATACAAGCAGAATGCCTAGTGTTTCGATCCTCATTCACGGGATTCAACATGATATTGCCACATATCAGACACAACATATCTGTAAGAATATCTAGACATTTGTGTTTTTGCATCTATTAGTCGATTACCGTTACAATGTACAATCTTGCGACTTCGACTACGGTTGCTGGTGCATCAGTTGTAAAATAACAAAGCCACATTATTAGAATTTATTTCTAAAAATGATTCATATGCTTGATAAAAGTATTATACTTTCATTCGGTCAATGTTTGATTTGCTCTTTTTTATGTTTGAGCGCTGGACGATGTCTTTTTTAATGGAATTCATCAAGTTGCCTATGGGTATTTACGAGTCTCCTCTAACAAATGTTGCACCGTGGCCAATACTGATCACTGTTTCTAACATAGGGAAACGTTTTCAATTACATTGGAATTGACTCATACACAAAATGCATAAATGTGAAAAACAAACTATTTATTGAGGATTAACCGTTTGCCACGACCAATCTCGAACGAAATACTATACTCACTGTTATTTGGGAAATACATGACTTCCGCGAATGCATTTCGGGGTTGATCGAAAACCTACCTTCTCAGTGCAAAAAATGTTGTGACATCCAGGACTAATACAAATTTTTTATCTTTACACTGAATGTTACGCAAATTCAAACAGTGGTACAAGAGAACTAAGAACATTGTAGTGAGAGAACAAGTTAGGAAAAATAGTGTATTCACCTATAGCTATGAATTCGGAAACTAAAACCTATTTCCAAAATGAGAACCATTTTGCCCGAGTTCGAACAACACCTATGGTTTCACACCATAGGATTCACCAAGATGGTGATGGTATAGTACAATTTGTAAGCTATAGACAACAGACAGCAATTCACTAGACACAAGAAGGTGAGATCACAAGCGGGGCTAAATACAAGAGCAAGTGTTCACTGACATCAGAGATGTACTATTATAAACCACCTTTAAGTGACTGCTCATGTGAGAAATCGTTGGTTAATGTGTCATCAATAAGGAACTATGGGGACTGCACGATGTATTCCTTCTTATTGCCTTTGCTGCCTCAGTCTTGCTTTGGGACACAAACCGAATACCAACACCATCGGTGAAAACTTGTCATTCCCTCGTCATGAAGTTCTAAGTTTCCTATCAATTCGAATGTGTGCGTGCAAATTCACGTATATCAGTAGAACAGAGAGACAATTACGTAATCGAGGGACTGAGCATACTACGAAATGAGGTCAGCACAATGATTGCTATTCAAGCACAACCCTAGCACAAACTGAACGTGCGAAACTTCTACGGTATCATAAATCGTCGGGCATGTGCGGGCAACACGCGATCAATTTATGCTGAATCCTCAGATCTAAGCTGCTTGACCGACAATGTTGATCAAATTCTGTTATTCTTCTCCCAATCGGAACCAAACTTAAACCCCAGCAAATTTGTTGAATGTTTATCTAGTTTTACACGCTCATCACATCCGACAAACCCCACATTGATAAATAACATTTCTTTATCTAGGGTGAACTCTGTCAAAATATATTGTTGTAACCACAGATGGCAATCTTTATTGGTCAACCCACATCCACAACTGGATTGGTAAACTGCGTCATAACATCATCACAAATTCGAAAACTAGTGAAGTTTCGCGCAATCGAGTTAGTTATGTCTACCTTTGTGTACCAGTGTGTTTTCCCCATCTTACTTCAATGTTCCCAGTTATTTTCTCTGCCTTGCTTATACAAGATTTCAAAACCCTACGTCGCGGCCTAACTATTATCAGCCGCGGTTCTTCTGTTTCACTGAACGAGTAAACTGGACGACTTTCAGAGTATCATACAACTTCCTGTGCGAAATTCGCAGACAGGATTCTCACAGATCCCGACCACCCATTACACACAGAATTGACACGATGTCATTCCCATCCCTCTACACGCTCTCAATTCCACCAAATGTCACCTCGTATAAACACTTGCCGAAAATCACCCTATCTTGCACGTTTATTTATTCACAAACACGGTGAGGGTAACCAGTGAACTTCGCCTAAACCATAGACTATGAAATACCGCTTTAAATACTTTTCCCCGTTAAAAATGCTCCTCACAATGGTTGATACGTATAAGCCTCGGTGCTTGCAAACTTAGGCATAATACAATGCAATGTAATAGAAATCGTTCAGAACCTCCTGGTTATTAATACGACTTGTGATATGATTTCGGAAGTACTTCGTGATTTTGTGCTTCTTAATCCCCATTTTTATCAGAGGGATATTAGTTCAAAAATTGCTACAGTTCCGATGCGCTCACAGAATCACTCTACCCTTTCGAGATTTCGTTGCTATTCCAGTTACATGCCATGTCTGATCAACACTAGAAGGGATGCAACACACAGTCAACTTAAGTCCCGGGAATTCAAGCAGTCAACCAAGGTTGACATTTCTTTCACCTGAAGTATTCCCTATCTCAGTGTCACGCTGAACTGATAAATTTATCCTCTCAATAAGCTTGTGCAACTAAAATATAACACTTATTAAAATGACGGTGATGTTGGTCACAGTGATTAGTGTTTGTAGACTTACTATCTCCGCTTTCCTTCCGAGTTGATATGTGTCATGATACTAATTACTGCCTTAGATTATGCAAATTTATAAACGAACGACCAATACTCTACTATGAGGAAAATGTGTTCAGGTGCGATGATAAACTCTTTCGATCGAATCTGAGTTGGTCATAAACAAAAATAAGAAAAGTGGTGTGGACAAATTCATCCGATTATTCGTTCGTCCTTCGTTCTCTTTCAAGCAATGAGGTTCACTGATAAGACGGTGAAGTGCATTCGCCTGTATCAATGGACACCTAACGTGGGATAGATGACCGGTGGGACTATTATCATTGAATGTTATCAGTTTTTTCTCATATTATCTTGAACATTTGATTTACAACTCTACCTCCAGATGACCATTTATGCGTGCATTGACTGGACGGTGAGCGGTGATTCACATAAGCTATTGTGTGTGATTAGCGTGTTTTTAAATGCCAGATTCAAATTCGAAAATAAAAGCCACAAATCAATTTACCGAAATTTAAATCGTTCCCCAAGTAGCTCCATGATATCCGGTATCAATCCGGTCACATTAAGCAGTTCGCCGGTTGCCGAACGTCCATTGGCGTTCACAAATGGTGGGTCCTAGAAGTTCATTACGTGTGAGAGAAAAGAAGGAAAACATTAGCACTATTCGTATTCGAGTTCTGGCACTAAATGAATTAAAAGAAATCGACTTATTTACAGACCGTACCGGATTTTGATGTCTGGTTTACTCTTGGGTAATCCAAAGATCATATATATAAGTTTCAACTGGAAGCGGGTCTTAGTACAGGTTCATGATGGTGATGCATTGTGTCGTGACTTCGCACATCATTTCACTTCAGTCATCACAGGGAGTTTAATTTAGTCCGTTTGGTTCGTGTTTGAGGCAATTACAACACATGAAGTAGCTGCTTTTGTGAACCCATATCCGCAGTGCATGATCGAATGCGTGGATCTTTCCTAGTGGATAGTGTTTAAGCAGCGGAACCGAATCGAAGTTAACCCTTACCCCAGATATAATGAATGCTCGGTTCAGCTAAAAAAACATATCTACACGAAGAGCATCAATAGGAGCAAAGGCTGTTAGATGAAAATTAGAATCAAACAGTGAACTACGCAGCTGTGAATACGAAATCGGGGTAGGTAGTTTACTACCTATATCCAATATTGGAAGCTTTTACTGGTTTCTGTTTTACGAGGCTGTTCTCAGTAATTCGGTTTAACCATGGCCGTGTGGGTACAATCTGGCCTGAATTGTCAGTTGTACCCTATCTACCCGGTGCTGATCTCACCAACAGAAATTTTGTCGATCCCAAACTGTCATTGGTATTCTCATGAATTCGGTTAGGCCCATATGAATCCCCGTCAATTGTTTTACGATAAAGGGCTGAACGGTCTGAAGCATGTTTGCATCCGCACAGCTCTTTCGTGTTGTCTCTTCGGAACGTGTTTGCAAATAAAACGCTGGCAGGTGTTTCTCATACTATTTTACTATTACGGTTTCTATGCATCAATGCAAGGAGCGATACCAAATTTTGGCTTGTGATTTTTCAAAATGTTATTGGTGTGTACCAGTGGAAAAAAATGCGCTCTTGTGCGTCGTCGGCTTCTTACTACCCCTTTTAACTGGTTAATCCAATAGAAATTGGAGACAAATGGACCATAATTTAGCTTTGCCGGTTGCCGAAAAGACACCCCACGGAGACTGGTGAGGATATTGCGGGTGTTATGCTTATAAATCCCGTTAAAGAGCTGATCCGTTAAGTCGAAACAGTACATTTGAGACAAGTAAGCGCGATTGGCACGGATTCCACTCGCTGCCATACTATGATGAGATTCTGGGCCTTTATTGCACTTGATGCCAACCGTCGTTTCACACAATCTCTGTAATTATTCGGGGCGAACGGCGGGGTGGGTGGGCTTAACATCTCTCCTGATAGTT